GTTGGCCTTGAACAAGGAAGCCAGACACAGCAATTTTGGGCACCGGCTACAGCTCCATCGCGGAGGCGGAATGGAGCCAGCATGCTATATTATATTTGCAAAATGGGTATGCAGGCCTACTCTTCACATGGTTTCTGTCCTCCTACTAGATTTTTACCTAAATTCCAACCACTCACAACAATGCTCTCTTGCCAAACAAATAAAGATGGGCGTCGACATCGTCTACGCTGTACGCAAGCGTTCCAGGGTCGAGAGAGAGGAATGCTATATTTGGAATGGAATATCCTAAGCTTTCAGCAAACAGGGTGGTATACAATAATAAATTCCCACGTGAATGGAGGACAAAAAAAACTGGCGGCTCAAATTCGAAAAGCCTGCACGAAAATTGTTCACTCCAGAGCTTTACCTACCAGTACTGTGGGAAGAAGGCAACTGTCAAAAATCGACCCGGGCCACCAATGCGACCAAGGCTAGAAAAAACTGCCTCTTAAATTCAGCACGTTAAGGCAACTGTTTAGGACGAAGGGACTTTGCGCAAACCAAAATTTAAAGTGATTTTGACGAAATGGGATAAGCAGTGCGATAATGCCGGAGCTACGGCATCACTCGGCACTGGCGCCTGGCCTGACAAACACTCTAGCGTGCTTGGGATTCCTCAGACAGTATGCCCACTACAGAAGACCATTCCATTTTTAAACGAGGAGACTCGAAAACAATAAAAACTGCGAGAAGGATACGAGATCCGAAAAAAAAGTCAGCAAAGCAAGCGCACATACCTGTAAATTGTTCATAGGGGAACATGCCACCGAGATCAGCGCTGAATTCTGTCCCGGCAGTTCCAATGGTGTGGTTAATTGGTCGGAAATCAAATTGTTGGTCTAGATTATAAAATAAGACTCCATGAGATACAGACACAGGGAATTGTGAGAAATGATGGCCGTGCAAACACACAGGCGTAAAAAGCAAGCCGCTGGTAACTTATTTAACAGTTTTACAAGCCGAAATAGCGAAACCTTGTAAGACAGCTGCAAGTAAGCTAGGTGGGAGGCAAAGCATCTTCTATTTCCTCTTGAAATTTTGCTGTACATACACAGGAGGCAAACAAGAAGAAAATGCAGCAACAATAGCTTATGTAGCCCCACTCACTAATGCCTACAACCTGCGTGTTTTCCTACGAAAACGCTGGTTATCGGGTTTTATGGGCGGGACACGCAGTGAATATACTTTAATAAATGCTAAATGCATTTTTATTTTACTGTACTTGGAAGTGCTGCTGATTTATATCTGCAGATGTTCCTACTCTGTATTATAATTTAACTTATTGCGGAAAAACCAGATTATCAAATTGGAGGTTTCTTGAATTTCCCCAAAAATTGAAATGGTGGTAAGGAGGTCATCTACTTCAACTTACCTGTC